TCTCCAGTGGTCACCTTTGCATTCAGGGCATGGCCCAGGGGGCCTCTTAGGGCAGTTCCTCTTGAGGTGGCCTGGCTTTTAACAGTGGTAGCAGAGGAATGTAGTTGTTGAGTTCTTCTTGGGGCCCCGAGAATCAGACTTAGGGTCTGTTTCTCTTGGTGCTGCAGCAAAAGCAGCTGCTTTTCCTCGGTCTCTTTGTTTTCTCTCCTTGGCCTCCTCCTCATCATGGCTATAGAATACTGAGGAGGCAATCCTTACTAACATCTCAAGTGAGCCATCTGTGGCAAAAGCCATTTTTCGTAGCTTTTTCTCTCTAGCCTCCCAGCGCATTGGGACCCCACAAACACTTAGTGTCCGCTCCCCAACCATGAGCACAGGCAGCAGGAATCTCGGTGCACACCTCTCTGGAGCTCCACCGTTCCTCCATGGCAGCCTGTACTGTCAGGGGAAGAATGGCTTCCAAGGGGTCTCCCCATGTATTACGCAAGGTCCTCCTGGTTTCCAGCTTCCAAATGGCTCTCGTGACCCGGTCAACTACACCTCTGAGTCTTCAGGTGTAGTCTGTATTCTTGTGTTCTCCGAGTCCTTGTTCAGCAGCTGCTGCTCCTCTGCTGACTCTGGACCTTTCTGGTTCTCAACGGCAGGGGCAAGAGCGACCCGTTGTGTGGCATGTACTCCCAGGGGTTTCTCCATGTTGGAATGATTCACACACGTCCCTGGGTGGGCCTCGGAGGCCGGCGAATGGCGGGCCAATTGTGTCATTGTTTTTCTGGGCCATGATAGTTCTTGACCGCGCAGCGGCGGCTGGCTTGATGGCTGGTGCGCGCCAGTGCGCGCTGCCTTGAGGCTTCCCACACACCGGCTGCCAGTCTACCGGGTGCCTGAGCAGCCAGGGTCAGGCCCAAAGGCCGGAGCTCCCCGCCTTGCGGCTTCCCGAGCGCAGGTGGCCCGCCTCCCAGGCGCCTGTGTGGCTGGGGTTCCACCCAAAGGCCGGAGCTACCGCCGCGGAGCTTCCCGAGCGCAGGCGGCCCGCTGTGCGGCCAGGGTGCAGCCCTGTCCTTGAGTATGAATCCTGCCTCAGCCTCCTGAGTAACTGGGATTACCCTGTAGGGGCTTAGCAGTGTGTGTTGTGTTAGCCAGTAACAGTTAAAGACTGCCACAGTGATACATCAACTTAAAGCATTTGAGTTATGTTCTTTTTCGTTTCTGTGTTCTTGGGAACTTTATTTAGTTGAGCATGGTACCAGATGCCCATATTCTCAGCACTCAGAAGGCCAGTCTGGGCTACACAGTGAGTTCAAGGCCAGCCTGAATTACATAGTGAGACTATCTCAGAAAAACAAAAAACAAAATTTTTTTTCACTTGCTCTTAAATGGTAGCGTTGTACCAGAATACTGGGTGGAATTTAGGATACCTGAGCTTTGGTTCTACCTCAGCCTTTGCTAATTGTTTGATCTGAGAATAAGTTAAATTTGGGCCTCAGTTTCTCAAACTGTACAATGAGAGAGTGAAAATGCTTGTTCTCTAAGCATCTTCCACAATTAGAATTTTTTTTTTTGTCAGTCCTGACTAAACCTGGA